TTAAGTATGTAAAAATTTATTACATTTCCTGTTGTACGAGGGTTTTACCCAATTCTCGAACCGTGTCAGAGTGAATCCGTGCTATAAAAGTACCGTGTTATACGGGGGATGGTACCAATTCTCGAACCGTGTTAGAGCGAATCCGTGCTATAGAAGTGCCGTGTTATACGGGGGTTACCTGTACTTTTAATGATATTAAAATTTTATTAACGATATACATAAAGTAATATTTTTGTTTATATATTGTCTACTTGGTCCTCGTTTATCGATAGGATCTATTATACTAGTTTCTGATTAGCAAGTCCGAAACTATACCAGCATATTACGTAGTATTAATACACCAAATCGAAGAAGATAATATACATAGGAATGTAAAACACTAAGATCATAGAGGTAATAATAGCAAATTACTGAAATATTTCCCAAATTTAAATACTCGAGCCTGGTACTCAATTGCAAAAAGAGACGACGTAATCTGTCGACAGAAACAGTAAGATAAAACTTGTTATTCTGTCTTATTTCAGTGTCGCGTGCACTAACGTACGAAAATTTTCGTGCAGTTGAAACGTACGCCATCTAACCAGCCGTAAATATAAGTAACCACTGGATTATGTGAAAGTGCTTTGTGGAACAATAGTAATTATTATAATAATTGATTAAAGTTTAATTATTGCAGAAATTTTAAATGAGTCTAAAAATAAGCAATTGTTTAAAAATTATCAGTTGTTTATTATTATCAATTATATTCCATCTTTCAGATTGGCCCAGCAATAACTCGTTTTGATTTCAAAGGCATATTTGGAAATAGAACGATTCTATTTGCCTGTATACCGGAAGGACCGTTTCGACAAAGAATAATACAACATTGTTATTTCCCTTCTCGATTTGCAGCCATATTTGATTATATTTTATTCTTTTCGGAATATTGTATGGTGAGATTGTCTCATTTCAATAACTGAAATCTAAAAATATACGCGAAATGGTTGTATTAATTATTGAAAATATTTATTTTAATAGCTTGAGCGGGACATTCGCATATGGAATTACAAAATGTATTTGAAGAATCCAGTTTACCTGTCAGAGGATAAGACAATTGTGAAATTCAGAAAATGGTACTCCCAGTTTTACAGCGAAAACAGCCCGAGGGTTGAAGAACAAGATCTTAATTGGTGATTAGAATTAATTTTATACTTTATAAAGCTTTCGACCGAAATTACACATATTTGTTAAACTTCAATTTTTATAATCGAGTTTGAATTGTAGTTTGTGTTACAGACTTAAATATTCATGCATTACCTTAAAATTACTATTAAAAAGTGAGTTATTACGTGAAAAACCTACTTTTATTTTGTATTTTAATAATAAAATTTTTGTGAAGAGCCACTGCTTGCTGTAAAAAGTGTTGCTGTAAAACCTTTTTGTGAGCTTTTTTAAATTTAAAAATTATGGCAAATATTGAATTTTGGATAATTGTGTTTAAGTTGTTGTTAATATTAAGTAAAATAGAATTAAATATAATTGTAACATTATAAAATTTGTAACACTATCTGTATTAGATATATATTATAGTAGGTACAATTAGATTAGTTTAAAATATATTTCAATTAATTTCTATACATTTAAATTTATATTATTGTGTATTTATTTAAATACAGTAGAGCGTCGATTTTCTGAATCAATTGGGGACGGGGGTTGTTCGTATAACTGATATTTCGGATAACCGATTTATGTACGAAAAAATAGTTTAACTTATCTGATGTTGAAATTTTTTTCCGTTGCGTCGCTTTGCGTTGAATTTTCGTCGATGTTAAGCCTAACAAAGACTATTGTATCGTTAAAAATTATTTTTTTATTTTTTACAAACAAAATAAATATATTGAAAAATATAAAAACAATAAAAAAAAATATACTTCAGATGTTAATTTAGTATCAAAAACGTAAAATATTTGAGTAGCCCAACATAGTCAAAGATTGAAGCGCCCACAGCACTTGCGAAAATTTAAATTTGCCGACTGGAATTCTTTCGGATGATTGACGTTTCGGATGATTGACTTTCGGAAAATCGACGCTCTACTGTATAATTAAGAAAGAGTTGAATGAATATTAAACTTTAAGAAAATAAACCTCTGATTGTAATTCCTTAATATTTTGTTTTTTATATGATAGATATAGGGGAGACCGGGGCAACTTCGGCATGCGGGGCAAGTTTGTCAAGCGCTTTTTTTAAAAAACAAATTAAAAGGAGACTTTGGTTATAGGTTAGGCAGTTGAGTTTTATTGGTGGGTTGTTGAGTGAAGTGCTTTTATTGTTCTCCAACAAGCGTAGTTGAATTATCAAGCAAATTTTCATTTTCGTTCAATTTCATATAATATTTTGCTCCCATTTATATTGAATTGGCAGGTTTTGTTATAATTCCATGATAACGAAAGTTACTTTTCCTGTTAGAAGGATGTAACTTCAACTTATTCACG